CAACCAAACTAGTTTTGGGTGCCGCACTGCTCTGCATTCACTCCAGCATTAGGTTCGGGGACGCTCAACGCGTGCACTGGCGCACGCTCCAGCTCAGCACACAAGGCCTGCATGCAGTCGCATACGCAACCAAAACCACTAAAGCGGGGCAGCCTTTCGCATGCACCTGGCACGGTTACACAGGTCGCTCCGCAGGCACATCCTGGCTGCTGCAGTGGCTGGCCTGCGTTTCATCGCTGCCAGCTTTCCAACAAGACGCCAGCAACCAGCCAGATTTCCTCTTCCCGCATGCAGACATGCAGTGCCACACCTTGCCATACATTGCGCCTGCAAGCTACGCACGCACGCTCCTGTGCATCCGTTGGGCTTCCCAATCCGCAGACATCTGCGGGCCAGCCGCGCTCACCCCTGGTGAAGCCTTCGCCCTCACACTGCACAGCATGAAAAGCACCGCCTTGGCAAGCGCCGCTCAGCTGGACCTTCGCAGAGACGAACGCTTAGCACAAGGCCATCATCGCGATTCTGCACGCCTTTATTCCCGCAATGATACATTCGCCAGCCTCCGCGTGCAGCGTGCAATTGCCACTCCTTGGCCACAGGTTGGCGGCCTCAGAGGTCCATGTCCAGAGGAGGCGCGCCGCCCATTCCCGAGCCTCCGGTGTCCATCCCCGCCGCGTTGCCCTCAGAGCACCTCTCGGCAGGCGACATCGTCTCAGGCCCGTGGTCGGTTTTCGCATCCCGGCATGAGCGCATGCAAGCATCGCACAACACCGAACATGCGGCAGACGAGGCTTCCCAGGCGCCCGACTCTCCTGCCGCTTCACCAGACTCCCCAGTGCACATGCAGCTGCAGGCTTTCTCAGATGACGAAGAAGCCAGGCAAGTGGAGGAATGGGCACAGCAGCATGCATCCTCCGACTCGGCCTCCGAAGCTCCAGAAGAGCAACCTCATGTCGAGCAGCTCTTCGTGTGTTCGGGGCCATGGGGCAGCATGCATAGCCCCACCCCCGAAAGCCTTGCCGCACACAACGCCTCCGCGCCAGAGCAAGGCAAGCAGGCAGTCAGTCTCCTTAAGGCCTCGTGCGGCGCAAGGCTAGGCGCCGCTAGCTTCGCGATCTCGTGCGCAGACCCTTTGGCGCCCTGCAGGCGCCAAGGCTGCCTTCAAGCAAGGGCTCAGACCCAGCGAGCAGCATGACGTCAAAAACAGGGACTGTGGACCTTCAACCTGCGCCCCTCTCCGTTTTTGTCCTGCGCTGCACCGCCACTAAGGTTCGCTTCGCGGACACGTGCGCCCCGGTGTTTAGCCCGCTTAGCTGCCTTTGCTTCCCTCGCTCAGACTTGTTCACCGCAGCCTTTTTTCCTCAAGCAGTTTCTTCGGCCGCTTCAACCGCCACAGGTTCTGCAACATGGATGCGCCTTCAGACCTCGACACTAGGGAAGGCCTCATCTCCCTGATGCAAACTCTACAGGTGCCAGTGCCGCTGCAAGACGCATTAATCAACTCAGGCATTGCATGCGTCGCAGATTTTGCATACGCGTACTCAGACGCGTCAGACCTCAATTCCTTCGTCGCCAAACAGCCTGACGCCCTGTGGGAGGGCATGCAAATTTCAGACCCAGAGCACTCGCCAGCAGTCGCACGCCTTCGCAGAACACTAGACAGGTGCAAGGCTCACTCCAGCACGCTGGAGGCCAGCCCGGCCCCCGCACCAGCACCCCCGCAAGCAAGCACGCCTGCTGCAAGCAACGTGTGGGCAGAGCACGCGCCGCCCCGCTTGGACTCAGAGGCAGTCCAACGCACGCAAGCAAGCTTCCGGGCAAACTACCCGGGCGAGCACTTGGACGCGGACGGCATGCCCAGCATCCGCTTGCTCAGCCTGGTGCACCAATGGTTCACCCCTAAGGGGGTAATCAAGTGGGTGCCATGGCAGCTTCGCATGAGCCAGAAGCAATATCAGGACATTATTGAGGCACGCACCACTCGCACGCTTCGCACCGAAGCTCAGTTGTGGTGAGCGCCGCACTGTTCGATGAGACGCCTGAGCTCAGCATCGATCGCGCGCACCTTAGCCCAGCATGGCTCGCACGCACCCAGCAAATTTTCCGCAACGCAATTGCACTCTGCAATGGTGCGCGCCTTGCCACTCTGAAGGCATTTGACAAAAAGATCTTGGATCTTTGCACGCAACAGCTGCCTGCTGACACCGGCCTCCGCGCGGTGAACACGCATGAACTTCTGCAAGCAGACCGAAAAATTTGGAACGAAGTCTCCAGCCTGCGTGCAGAGGGGTGGACACTGGACGAGGCACTGCATGAAATGATATGCATAAGAGCGGACGTGCGCGCACTTCTGCAGCCCCGCGCACGCCCTCCCATGCAGAAGGATGGCAAAGGTAAAGGCAAGCCTGGCAAAGGCAACGGCAAGAAAGGAGGCGGCAAGGTGCAGACTCGCCTTAAAGACAACGGCAAGGTCACAGCACTCGCAGAGGCAATGCGCAACCTGCAGCTCAAGCATGGGAACAAGACGCTCTGCATCCGTTTCAACAAGACAGAGCGCAATGATCGCAATTGCAAGTTTGCGCATCTCTGCGCCATCCGCCTTGCCAACGGGCAGGCCTGCGGGCAACGGCACCCCGCAAGCCAGCATCGCTTCAAGTCGCAAGCAGACAAGTCAAGCGCCGCAGAGCCCCCGCCAGCAGTGCCTGCGACCTGACAAATGCAGGGGGATCTAAGCAAGGGGGACCCTCGCAGCACGCCGAATCCCTTGCCGCGCACCACGCCTCTCAGCTCAGGCAAGCAAGGAAACCCCTCACCCCCTAAGGAGGAAGGCCTAGTGGTCCCTAACCCGCACTCCCCTAGCACCCCCTGCCCACCCGCGTCTGCAGCAGTTGACTTGTTCTCAGGTCAGCGTGCGCCCTTAACGCACGCAATGGAACGCCTAGGCTGTGACTGTTTTCATCCGTTTGACATCGCATTCGCACCCGGTCTGGACATACTTAATGACTCGCACTACCGCTTGCTCCTGCGCGTCGCATGCAGCGGCATCGTAGGGGCCGGTTGGTCAGCACCGCCATGCAAAGAGTACTCACGCCTCAAGCTCCGCAAGCCAGGCCCAAAGGCGCTCCGCACGCCAGAGTTTATGCAGGGATTACCAGGCCTGTCAGACGATGAGCTCCTCCGGGTATCGCAAAGCGCAGAGATACACGCACGCAGCCGCAGGGTCATCAGATGCATCCGTGAGGCAGCAGGCGAAGCAGGCCTTGAGCAGCCCCCCTCCTCAATGGCGTGGCTGGAGGAGGACAATATCACCCTGCTGCGCGAGCTCTGCGCGCACTGTGCGCACGTGGCGGCATGCAAGCACTGCGCAAGCTTTGCATCCATCCGCACTCTGGCAAGCACCTGCTGCCACGCACCAGGCGCGCGCAAGTCCATTGCAGGCCTCAAGCAAGGAAGCACACACGTTAGCGCACTGACAGCCGAATACCCCGACAGCCTAGCCGCAGCCTTAGCAGCACTATTGCAACCTTTCTGCACACGAACAGGCATCTGCAAAGCCAGCATCTCTGACTTCGCCAATCTGCTCTGCGAGCCAGTCATACATCGCCGACCCCCAGTATGTGACGGCGCCGGCTTCAACAGCGCGGCAGATCACACCAATCCAAAAGCCAGCAGCCCGTTTCAAGACCTCGTCCAGCGCTGGCAGCAATACGCCTCCCAGCATGATCTCTCCCCGCGCATCCTGCGTCACCTGGCGCAAGGCATCGACTCGCACCCGCTCACGCACCAACAGCAGCTGGACTTGGCAGATATCGCACACAAATGCCTGCACCCATCGTGCTCGCAAGCAGATTGCCTTCTCGTGACTCCCGGCCAACCGTTCCGTCTTAACCTCCTGCAAGCCTTTGCCGCACGCACGCAAGACCCTGATGCACAACTCACAGACCTGCTGAAGCAGGGTGTCCCGGCAGGTATCCTGGACGAAATCCCGTCCAGCATGCAATGGACTCAGCGCCAGCACGACCTTGACGATGACGACCTGGAAGGGACGCGCCTGCTGCACTGCCAAGGCAACTGGACGCAGGCAGAACGCAATCCAGCCCTCCAGCAACTGGTCGAGCAAGAGG